TGTGAGCAAACAATACCTACTAAATACGTGACAAACTTTATCTGTATAAACAATTACGTATATTTATTTTTGTTACCAGTGTTCATGTAATAAGATAAGCTGTTTATTCATATGATTGTCTTTAATGTGTACGACATAGCTCTGTCTTATATAATGTGGAATCCATGCATCGAGAATACTATTATGAATATATACTAAATCCTGAATAGAGTTAAGCTGCAACATAAATATACACTATCTATGTTCATATTTGTTTATTATATTGCATTTTGTGAACATCCATGTGGTGTGAGATAATATTTGTTAAGCATTTCAGCGAAACTCACGTATCAGATAGAGCACCAAAAATTATTCCTCCAACCAATAATCCCAGCTGGAACATAGAGGATGATAAGGCACCCAGAAAATAGCGATTACAAACCAAATCAAACTGTAAAAAAAATGACCAGGTGATAAACACAGAAGTAAGTTTACCAATTTGCTAGTTTATTGCCCAAAAATTGGTTTACTTTTCGTCACTACAAAATCAGAATTATTCTTTAATTTGTGCATCAAATGCGGGAATACTGCACTGTAAATCCATTTGTCATAAAATTTGACACATTTTTTAAAATAATACATTTTTGCTGTTTTGGGGTAATACATTTAACAGTGTTTATAGTTTGTCCTCGCTTTAAAAACATTTAAGGTTTATAATCTGCATAATTATGAAAAGTGTATGATGTACACTTATTATCACAACACTTTCAAAACTGATTTTACTAAGTACACATTTTGTGAAGTGTTTCCACTAGAAATATGTACGGAACATTATTTATTATTACAAAGTGTGGAAAGTGTATATTAGCAAAATATATCGATTGGCGCGTTTAGGGACCAAGCTCTTTGTGCTATTTCACAGTAACCAGTATAATGAAATAACTATTCATTACTAAATATAAATATGGTAATTTGTGTATATTTCAAGTTCAGTTTTGCCGAGAATAATAATCGCATGAAGCAGTGTTTAAAATAATTAAGTGCAGCTGAATGTAAAGTTCTACTAATTGTTATGTATGGAAGCGAGATTTTCTAAGCGAAAATTCTAAAGTGGAACAATGAATCAGTAAATCAATTCAAATTACATTTTGCGATTCAAGTACTAGTATATAACTTTTACCGACGTATTTGCCGTCAAAAACCAACACCACGATATTCAAGATAACAATTTTAGAAAATGTTCCAAGTTTCTACTAGAACCATGATTGTCTTGAAATAGAATAATAGTCCGTTTAACTTGTGAATTGTCGGCCTTGCTCTGGCACTTAGGAAGATGATTCAAAATGTTTGGATTTATTCCCGGAACGACAATGTCTTCGGTTCTTCGAATGAAGATCATGTAGACTCAAACCACTCGTGTTTCTTGCATTTCCATGCCTGTTCGTCAGGACTTCTATTTCCCCTCTGTAGTGAACATGTGTACTAATGATGTGTCATATGACATTACACATCAGGTTTCTCTCCCGGATAATCCACTAACGCCATGAGACTTAACCTGTCGCTGTCTATCTAATAACAACACGTCTCTCGCTATAAATCTGATCCAAACTTGATTACAGTTATCGTAATCTGAATATCTCTTTCACTTGACAGAGTTACAGCTTTCTATCGACTGATACTGACTGAGTTACAAAGGGTATTTATACAGTTGCTTGCTGAACTTTCTGGAAAACATTATGATGTTATATTTTAGATTTACGTATAGTCTGGTCTGTCTAGAGTATTCTGGCATAACCTCACTGTAATTTGCTAAAAAATACACAAATTTGATATATGCTAACCTATTACAGAATGTATAAATTTAATAAATAACATATCTGAACAAAATAAAGATAAACAGACGATAACAGACAATTTACAGTCAACTAAATTGATCACTTACCTCCTGATATATCGATGATTTGTACTGCGATCGGTCATATTTCCATCCATGATTACATTTTATAGTATAATTGGTGTATGACATGTTTTCATAGCGTTCACAATTACTGTAAACCAAACCACTACCACACTGATTAGAGCTTTCCATTGATGAAATATTGTGGTTCTTTATCATATCTTGGCAGAGCATTAGTGAGCTGTATTCGTCTTCATATTTATCAAACTCTGGAACATAGCACCAATGGTCAGTCTCAGCTGCTAGGAATACTTAGGCAAACCCATGAAATCCTGGAATTATAAATATGAAGCACGTTTCGATGGTATACTGTGGTTCTTTACTAAATCTTGGCAGAATATTACTGTGTTGTTAAGACTGCATTCGTCTTCGTACTTATCCAACTCCGGAACATAGCACCAATGGTCAGTTTCGGCGGCCAAGAACACTTGGGCGAACGCGTGGGACGCTGGTAAGATGGCTACAACAGCACAACAGAATGTATACACGTTTCTGATACAGTCCAAACTCTCCCAGATACTCGAGGACATCATCGAACTGCAACATTGCTTTTGTTTTTGTTCTATACAAACTGGTGTACGTATAAACAACTAGCTGGACGGTAACTAGATTATTATTAGAAGCCTCGTTTGTGAACAGCTATTCTCAAATACTTGACTGTGTTGAGACACGTTTAACGGAAATAAACGCTCAGACCGTCTTTTCAATACAGTTCTAATAATACATGCTCATCTTAAACAAATTCACTTCCCTTTAGTTTTCTGTTATCATGGGAACTGGCATCGTTGGTGAACATATGTCACTGCAAGTGAGGCCGATTAATTGTACATGTTGATCAGTAATGATAACTTAGTTCTATAGTTCCGGGGGGCAATACATAGAACTTGCCTAATGGGGACCTGAAATGGGCCTCGTTTTGTTATTTTAGGTATAAGTAATGGCCTTATTTCTGGTCAAGATAGGTATAAATATTGGTAATATTTTCCCGAATTCGTATGCTTATGGGTCCGTATATGAGCGAATATATTCACCTCGGATCCGGGCCTCAGATCCACAGGTAACTTTTTTATTTTGAATAAACAGTGGTGACACAAATGGTACTTTGGTATGAATATGGGTATACATTTTGTCACTATCCAGGTATAAAAATGGTCACACTTTTGACTACTCAGGGGCACCGCCCTACCCAGCTATGTATCAACTTCCCCGGGTCCACAGTATGTATGATTGTTTAACTGCACTTATTGTACAGTTTACTGACGTCCGGAATAACAAAATCAGATCGCTTTTTATGACTGCAATTCGTAATAAGATGAATTGGTTATTGCTATGCAAATCACAGTGTGTCCAATATAGAGAATTGTGTGTCTAAAAATTAAGCAAACCCTCATTTTATTTTAGCTTTGTCAGTTTAACATAAAATTGATGTCATATCTATTTCAGTTGATAATTACAGCTGGATGTATACATTATGTAATATATGAAAACAAATAATTATAGATACAAAACCTTTCACTCTCTAATTGTATTTTATCATTGCTGAAAATTGCGTCGTGGATGCAAGAGCTTTTCCTGGACGAACTATAGACGTAACTCGATTTAGCATTCAGACCATTTCAGTGATTGTCATGGGATTTTTGATTTTTGTATTTAATAAATGTGTATTGTGACTAAATGTGTATTGTGACTAATGTTGCTCCAAATGTATTAAAGATGATATATTTATTATCGAACATCGATCGTGCTACTAATACAGAATTCATTTTGAATACATTTCTTTTGTCAGAGACTACATTTTTTCTTGGCCACTGATTAGGCTGTTTTCTTTTCACTGACGGTTGACTAGTGCTTAGCTACACATCAAGTAGTTTTTCGAAGTCTAAAGTGTTTCTAGAGTCACAGGCAACTTTCTCTGAAAATGTGAAGAAAACCCAATCGTATCTGAATCTCTACCAAAATCTAACCGATTTAACCATATCAAGAGCGACCCCTCCTAAAATTATATTTAAATCGATCCATAAGTTTTTGATTTATACATGTAAAATCATTCCCACAATTGTTGTTTCCATGACAACTGTATCCATATCTGTACCAACATTTAAAGAGTTCGTGATTGTATCAGAGCAACCCCTACTAGAACTTATGGAAATATTTTTTTAACATTTTGAGCTATCCTCCTATCCAAAAAAATAACCACCACTACTGAAATATAACCTCATTGGCTTAGGTATGATAACACTTTCTTGAACTTGTAAATGAAGCCTAATTTAACGATTTTAAATAATTTTAGAGCGTTATGCTCTCATGTGATATCAATGCGAAGATCAAATTCGAATCATTAAATAATATTCAACATGTATAATGCAATATAATTAATAACACGCAGTGCAATGGTTATCATATAAATTATGGAAACCTTGTGAACCTTCTAGACAGGTCTATTACTGATTCATGCATATATAATAACATCATAGTAAATAATATGCACTTTTTCCACATATCGTTCTGCTAATTAATTATTTGCAAATAATATAAATAACCAGTGATTTATGTATGCACACGATAATCAATTATATTATGCAAATGAGTTTATTTATGCATATTTATTTATACTTAAT